CTATGTTGTATACCTTACAATAGCAGTAGCATTCACTAATGAGGTTTATAAAAATAAACTGCTGTAAATTTATAAGAAAAAATATTTCTCTGACTATTTCCAATAAGCAACCATTTTAGATGCAACAGTGGCATTTACTTTGGAGAAATTAGTGGTAATAAATGAGAGTAAATTCAGGACACTGTAAAGGTTGAGGTGCTGTCTTTTTATGTAGTTTGCTAAAACTAAAATCGTATTTGCCCAAATGTTGTTAGAGTTGATGCTAACCAAATATAAACATTCACAACACAGGTTATAGTTTATGAGATTACTGAAGATTTAAGACAGTTAGTTGCTAAACTAAACCAAACCACAGCCATAAATCTCCTTTTAATTTTGATATCCTTTAAATTGTCTAAAAGGTGAAGGTATAACTTAATTCAATAAAAAGGTGACTGCCAGGCTGAAAATTCTCTCTTTTTTTAGGAAGAAATTTTGAGAAGCATCACCAGGACTGGGCTGAGCTTTGAGTATACTAGAGAGTAGGAAAGTTAGTACAATAGGCCAATAGATATGGATGTAGTTTTACTTCAGTGTTCTGAGTCTGTTCCTTCTCTTCTGAAATACAGAGTTTACCCTTTGGCTTTTATAGTTTTGTCTTGATTGCAAAAATGTCGTTGAATTTAGCTCAAGTTCAGTTAAAATTACCTTGTCCTGCATGAACTGAAATTTGACCTTTTTGTCTAGAGTTGATGTAAGTTGACAACTTGTATAAATACCTCAATGTACAAATACGTGGTCTTTTGCAGAAACCTTTGAGCTGTCCTTGATGATATTCTGTGCTGGCTGCCATCCAGCTGTTAGCCAGCCATGGTGTGTTTTAGCCATACAGCACTGAACCCCAAGTCTCTGCAACTGAGCAGGGTTTTATAGGTCAGGCTTGGCAGCGTGCTACTATTTTACAACTGATTCATGCCTGGCACAAGTGTAGTGTGCACAAACAATTGTTTGGTCACAAAAGATGTTGAAAACAATCCATATTATAGTCTGAATTTATGTAAAAATATTGCATATATCCAGCTGAATATAGAGGAGAAAAAAGCTAATGTATATAATTAGTAGTGCCTAATCTAAAAGTGACAATTTACAGCTGATAAAAGTCCAAAGGAAACAGAATCAGTCAGAGATCTGAACCTCAGGGGATCTGCTTGGTAATGGTGTACCGATGCTATCAGATTCTCACTTGGCTGTGTTTTATGTGCTCTTTGCAGAGGTATCAATGACCATGTAGTGTGTAAGATACGAGTCACTCAGGCTCTGAAATGCAGTTCTCTTCACTAAACTGCCTTCAGGTTTTTCAAAATCCTTTAGGTCTATATCAATGTCCATTTTAGAGACTCTAAAAGCGACCTGCTCCACAAAATGGTTCTTGGTAGCGCTAACATTAGCATATGGTTGAACAAGAAGAAAACACTGATCCAGAAGAATGTGCTGACAACAGGCTCTGCAGAATCACCTGGACACCTTCTGGCTAATATTAAATGTGAACTTCAGATAAGTAGAACTAAATTTCATTAGCAGTTTATAATTCATTGCAGGTAAAACTGTAGAAGCATTCCTACCAAACAATACCAATGATTTATTTGCAAAAGAGAATGCTGCTCTACAAGTTTTACATTTGTGGATTGGGAATAAAATAGATCAAGTGCTGGCAGGTTTTGCTTACTTTTCTGGAAATAAAGTTCCTTTTTTTTTATACTAAGGGACAAACATAGATAATCATATTGATACCAATGTTAAAATCTGTAATGATCAGAGTCTCAGCAGTATTTGATTTCCAAACAAGCTGAAAGTGCGTGGCAGATCTGGAATTAGCAGTAGGGATGTAATCGGAGAAGAGAAACCTCTCTTTCCTCCTGTGCCAGGCAGAAAGATGGGTGTTTAATATGATAGCATATGACAGAACAACAGAACTTAAGTTATGTCACTAAGTATGCTAATCTGATATCTGTATTGTCTAATAAATTAAGTTGATACAGACAACATTTTTCTTTTTATCTTTCATTTTCATAGTGTGGTTACAGATTTGTTTTCACAACACTGAGTGAGGATTGAATTTACAAGATTTATCATCATATTCCTTTAAATGGCAAATCATTACATGGAGGGAAAAAAAAGCAATGTCATCAGTTATTCAAAAAGTTACTGCCGGTTTATGCTCAGCATTGTCATTTATTTTTTAAAACACTTGTCTGTTTTGAAAACAGTCTTGAGAGTCTGTAGAGGTGCTTCAAAAAGGAAAAATCATCAAAGTAGGATTATGGCAGCTATCTCACAGTCAGGACTAATGAAGTTAATTTGCTTTTAAAGTATATATCCATAACAATATAGTCTCCTGATTGTATTTGAAAATAGCAATAAGAGTTTAGCTTTCAAGTATTTAGTGTATTGAAACCGCCATATGAAAAACTATGAATCCATGAGATTAAGTCATCATTTTAAAAGTTAGGAATGTCTTTATTAATATTGCCTATGCAAATTGCTTTGTTTCCAGGAAGCTCTTTAGGAATGTGTAGGCACAAAGGCTGGGAATCAAAACTCTGGTTCAAGCAATCATCCTTGTTTAGAAATGGTGCAAAAAGCATATTCTTGGATAATTTGGTTATTCCTACTGAACCTGATACATCAGGTACATTCCATGTACATTGAACACAGGAAGTATCAAGGACCATAACATGCACTTTTACATAGCTATTATGCTTTCTAGGGGGGAAAAGTAACTCTCCCTCCTCACACCAATCAAATTTTTGCCCTTCAGTTTCTTAGAAACACTGAAGTTTAATCATGGCAAATGAAGAAGTATCTTCACCTGCGGTTAAAAGTAAGCCTGATTATTGTCTGATTCTAGTAGTCATTACAGGAAAACTGAGCATTTGCTTTTATCTATGGTCATAGTTATTATTCAATATGCTATTTTCTTTAGATTTAAAGTATTCTTTTTTCCATTGCTTTGAATTTAATTACATCCAACTGTCTATTGATTATGGATTGGTTACCTGCACAAATACGAGGGCAGGTATAAATCTAATTATACTTCAGAGAAAGCTTCTGATTTGCAAACAGGGTCATTTTAACTAAATGCTAATGATACAGCTACAGTTGTGAGGCTAGAGGTTGTAATAGATGAGTTTTTTAGTTCTTTTAAATGAGACATTAAAGGATGATGAAAAGCTATGAGTCACTTTTCCTTAACTTTCATTCCCAGTGGCTACACTTCTGAAAATACTGGTGTGCAAATATAGGCATGCTAATATGTGCACAGAAATGAACACAGGCCTCAGGCTGAAATCATGATGAAAATCAGAAAATTCAAGTTTGTGGTTCAGGATTTATAAAAGATCTCTGCTTATGGCTACAACCTGGATAATTTTTTCTCCTCAAGTTACAATGAAAGTATGCATAAGGACAACCAAAATATACTAGTATTTAACAATTTTCTGCTTAAATCCATATTGTTAATCTTCTTTTTTTTTTTGGGGGGGGGGGGAGAAGAATCTATTCCTTATATATTAGAGTTTTACAGCAATGTTCTCACTTGTATGAATCATTAACAGAGACCCTCAGTCTAATATGGAAGCTGTCTGGGAAATCATTCCTTGGAATTAATCTTGGGGCAAGCTGCAAAACTAATGTTTCATGCTTTTTATACTGTGAGTAACATACTGTACTTCAGAGGTAAAAGCAATTGATTTCCAGCTTAACTGTCCAATTAAAACTTTTCTGATTTTCATCAGTGGGAGCAGGATAATTCTTTATAGATCAGCAACTTGTATTCCTTCCCAAAGATATTAAGTGGCGGACAGGCCATTTTTAGAAATGCCCATTACATTCAAGAGAAATCTAGTAAAGATTACTATTATGCAAAAATTTGCAGTTTCTAGAATGAAGAAACCATTCAGCTTGCAATATAATGCACATTATCTATATAAAAGCAGTTCCTGTATGCACTGTAGAGGTATGAAAACACTGTCTTAGATCAATAAGAAAAATGGTAAAAACTAGCTTCTTTTTGAAAACAGAAGGAATCTTTGCCTAAAAGTATAACCATGAGCTCTTGCCCTCTTACTGAAACCGCAGAAAGTCCTCTTCTGAAATACACCATTAATGAATGGTAAACGTATTTTAAATGAAGAGGACTTTGTGTTTCAATTTTTTTGGTGCACTACACCAAAATTCTAGAGCAGGAAAAAGTGGCTTCAGTGTTGCTGATGAATCATATTCTTGCATGTTCTCTGCCATGGTTTGCTTTTGGGAAAGTATAAAAATTTTGGATTTTGATAAGTAGGCATAAAAAATGATGTG